TACTAGTTGTACTTTGTCCAGTTTGGTGGAGAATATCGTTTAAATGCAATGGAAGTTTACCTGTGTTTTTCTGAATTTCAAAAATTTGTAACACGGTATAATTTATCAATTTTCACAATTTTGTCATAAATTTATACTTCCGACAATTTCTTATAACATTGCATATGACAATTTATACGTTTTTACAATATTCTTCAATGGAAACGTACGTTTTAACGTTTTCGTTACTTACTCGTGCTTAGATTAATTTCGTAAGGATTAAAAATCAGGTTGACCTGTGGTCGTAGATTAAGAATAGCCATAGTACAGCTAAAATTATCGTGTTAAATAATTTATTTCATGGTATTGTAACAAGCAAACGTTGAATACATTTTTCATTCGTGTAAGAAGAATTATTTAACACGATAAATTTAGCTGTACTATGGTTATTTTTAATCTACGACCACAGGTCAACCTGATTTTTAATCCCTACGAAATTAATTTAACCACGAGTAAGTAACGAGAACGCTAAAACCTATGTTTCCATTGAAGAATATTGTAAAAACGTATAAATTGTTATATGCAATGTTATAACAAATTGTCGGAAGTATAAATTTTTAATAAAATTGTGAAAATTGATAAATTATACCGTGTTACGATATCGGAAATCTCCCGCGAAAATCTCCCGCGAAAATTTCCCGCCTGACCTAACCGACGATTTTGCTAATGACTTTGGGGAGAGGGTACCGCAGGTATATAAGGACCCGCCGATGTCCCGCGAAATCATTTACCCTTTATACTGGGCCCTAGACACTTCGCGGCGTATTTTGACCTGAAGGTTCTGAGATGTGAATAGAGTGGTCGGGGGCTACTAGCTAGTCTATGTCCACCCTGTACACACTCAGCCTTCTTGTAACACTTGTATACATTAGAATCAATTAGAATTTCTATTACTAATTATTAAACAAATTTTAACAATTACCGGCACTCGCTAGGCACGTAATATCAGACTTTAAATACTCGACTTCGAACTTCGGTTTAGTCATAATTCTATTAATGTTATAATAACGTATAATTTATTAATTTTCACAATTTTATTATTAATTTATACTTCCAAAAATTTGTTAAAACATTACATATTATTATTTATACATTTTTGCAAGTTTCTTTGACAAATAAGTACGTTTCAACGATCTTATTACTTTCTCGTTGTGAAATCAAGTTCGGAGGATTAAAAATCAGGTTGACCCTTGGTCGTAAATTTAAAATAGCCATAGTGAAGGTGAAATTATTATTTTAAATAAATGTTTCTATACGAATTAAGAATCTATTCAACGTTTGTTTGTTGCAATACCGTGAAATAAATTGTATTATATATTTTCTCAGTTTAGACTGAATTTAAAGTTCGTAAGGATTAGAAATCAGGTTGACCTGTGGTCGTAGATTAAAAATAGCCATAGTGAAGGTAAAATTATTACGTTAAATAATTGTTTTTATACGAATTAAATATTGATTCAACGTTTATTTGTTGCAATACCGTGAAATAAATTGTATTATATATTTTTTCTGTTTACACTAAATTTAAAGTTCTGTTTACATGTTATAACAATTAGAATGTAGACGTTTTGCCGTTTCACGGTTTTTCCTCTGTTAATTATGTGTTTATAAATCATTTCAAACTAAAGCAGCACCATGCCCACCCTTAATTAAACCGTCTCAGTAGTTTACCGTAATTAATAATCTATTTTCGGAATTTATACGAGAATTTTTGAATTTTAGTAAATACTAGAGTCAGTGCATCGCGTATTGAAATAATAGCTTATACAGATAATCTTTTGAAATTACTCTTAATTAGGGAAAATCTTGAATCTTGTATGGAAGATGAAGATTTTCAGGAAATATTTATTTTTCAACAATGAATTTTTGTTTTATCGATTAATAACGTACGAAATGATTTTTGGAAAATTTTCTTCGTTTGAACGTTCGTTTAAGGTTCGACTATGATTATCAAATCTCTCGAAACACCGTAGAATGTTCAATTTTAAAAGTAACTTCTTCAATTTTTGGATAATCTGGGTAACGTGTTAGTGTTGACGATACACTTTCGAGTGTAGACGTTAAAGTTCATAGAGTGGTCGGGAGCTACTAGCTAGCCTGTGTCCACCCTGTACACACTCAGCCTTCTTGTAACACTTGTATACGTTAGAATCAATTAGAATTTCAATACTGTAGAGTGAATAACAATTCATTTTAACTAATACCTATTAGAAATTTTCCTTTTAAAACAAATATAAATCATTTTACCAATTACTGGTACTTGCTAGACATTTAATATCAGACTTTAAATATTCTCCTTTCGGTTCTTTTAAATACAATCAAATAATTTCTTCAATTAGCGATACTGACTTGGAATACTCCGCTTCGAATAAAATATTTCGAAATTATGTTGAAGGTTTAGGGAAATAAACATTTGAATTTTAGTCATCGTTCTTCTTCAGACTTGTCGAATAGGATATTGAAATGACTTTGAGAGGTTGCCTTTTCGTTACTTTTCTTCCAGCAATTCAAATTAATTTGAAATTTTTCAGATATTTTCTCTGATATTGAATTTTGTTTACTAATAATTTACCATCCAACGAATTTGCATGATTTGCATGCTGAGTAGTTAGTTGATTTATTATTGTATATTGTGAGCTGATTTGGAACGAGTGCACTATGCCCACCCTAAATTAAACCGTCTCAGTAGTTTACCGTAATTAATAATCTATTTTCGGAATTTATACGAGAATTTTTGAATTTTAGTAAATACTAGAGTCAGTGCATCGCGTATTGAAATAATAGCTTCATCCCTAGTTCGTTTATTATTGAATATTTTTACGCGTTTAACTTATGCTTCTCCCCAATTCTCGTCGCGTATTTTATTCAAATTTTCTTATATTCATTCTTTCAATTTTTCACTCGCGTTCTACGAAAGTTTAGTTCAATAATAATAT